CCCCCCCCCCCCCCCCCCAGCCCCATTTTGCCTCTTTTTCCCCCCAGAATTCATGTTGTGGAGGCGCCCAGGTGGTCCTGAGCCCGGCTGGGAGGCAGCACTGGGGGCAGAAACACAGCGAAACGAGCACAAAAACCCTAAAAACACCCCAAAACCACCACTCACATGAGCCCCAAACAGTCGTTTCAGCCCTTTTTGGGGGTTTCTTGATAGAACTTTGAGGCAGAAAGTGCTAAAAAAGGTGAAAAAACACCCAAAACCCCCCATCCTGGTATTTTGGGGGTCTGGATGGTGGAAAATTGTCCCCCAAACCCCAAATTCGGGGCTGTTTTGGGGGTCTGGCCGGTGTCATCCTAAATCCTGATGACCTGAGCAGCCACGCAGGGGTTCCTCGGCTTGCCGTCGCGCTGCTCCTGCAGGCACAGCTGCCCGTAGGTCCCCGCTGCCCGGCCCTTGGTCAGCCGGCCGGGGTTGATGCAGACGCAGCCCAGCACCTCCTGTGGGGTGACAGCACAGATTGGGGGTCAGTGGGGGCTGCTGGACCCCCCCGGCATCGATCTGGGGGCGAAGGTTCGCGCCACGCTGGTTATTAACGAACAGGCAGCCCTAACGAGCTCATTAAACCCCCCGTTAAACCCCGATGGCTGGGGCGGGTTGCGGGAGGGGCGATTTGCTGCTCGTTAAACCTTAACGAAGTAACGCAGCTCCGATGGGGTGACGAGGACGTGGGGGGTGACGGGCAGCGAGGCGAAGGTGGAGAAGCTCTCGTAGTCCACGTTCATCTCCTCTGCTGGGGGGTACAGGGGGTAATAGCTGGAAGGAAAGGGGGTTTGGGGTAAAAAAAGAGGGATTTGGGGTCCTCTCCAGTCCCGGCGCCCTCCTATGGGGTCACCAGACCCCAAAAACGACAAATCCTGACCCAAAACAGCACCAAAACCTGTGAGTTCTGCACCTGAAGGGTCACAAAACCCATAATTGAGAAATGCTGAGCACCTCCAAATCCCTTTGGATTCTGCATCTGAAGGGTCAGAAATGCCCCCAAATCCCCAAGCATGAGAAATGTCCCCCCTGGGGGGGTAAATCTGTCGCTCTGAGGAGGAAAGCAGTGAGGCGGTGCAGAAATCCCCTGGTTTTGCCCCCAAAAAGCCCCATTTCGGGGCTGCTGCTGATACCTGCGCTGCGTCAGGATGTGCTGGAGGATCCGCGTGAAGCGATCCGAGGTCCCAGAGGAGCTGAAGGGTGAGAAAACGGGGAAATAAGGCAAAAAACAGGGAAAAAACAAGGGAAAATAGGGTGAGAAATGACAAAATCCCGAATCTGTGGGGTTTTTTCCCCACCTGCTGATCTCCTCGGTGCCCAGGTGGAACAGGAGGTCGGTGGAGGTGAGGCCCAGCACCACCCCGTCGATGTCCAGGGTGCAGGGATCCGGCATGAAGTGCGCCCGCTGTGGGGTGAGAGGGGCTGGGGGGGAAGCGGCCCCAAACGGCCCCAAAGCCACCCAAAGTGGCCCCAGAGCCACCCAGAATGGCCCCAAAATGGCCTCAAAGCCACCCAAAAGAGCCCCAAAATGGCCTCAAAGCCACCCAAAATGGACCCAAAATGGCCCCAAATCCACCCAAAATGGCCCCCAAGCCACCCAGAATGGCCCCAAAATGGCCCCAAAGCCACCCAAAAGGGCCCCTAACGGCCCCAAAGCCACCCAAGTGACCCCACATCCGGCCCCAAACCCACCGCAAACGACCCCAAATCTGCCCCCCAAGTGACCCTGGGTAAGGAAGGGTCGGATTGGGGGAAAAAAAGAGTATTTTGGGGGCAAGTTTGGTACCGCTTTGTCCTCCTTGGGCAGATCGGGGCAGACGAAGGGCGGCTGCGGGTACACGAAGTCGTGGTGGGCGTCCCGCTGCGAGGGGACGAAGACCAGCTGGGTGCCAGCGCTGCGGTTTGGGGGAAAAAAGGGCGATTTGGGGGAAAGAGGGGATTTGGGGGAGAGAAACGGAGGAAAAGGGGGCGGAGGAGGTGGGAAAGTGCAACGAATGGGCAGCAAACGGCGCCAGAATACCCCAAATCTGACCCCAAACAGCCCCCGATCGCTGCAAATTGCACCCAGTCTGCCCCAAAATGCCCCAAAGCCACCCTAAATTGCACCAGGACTGCCCCAAGTCCACCCCAACTGACCCCCAATTGCCCCAAATCCACCCTAAATTGCACCCAATCTGCCCCAAATCCACCCTGAATTGCCCCAAATCCGGCCCAAAATGCCCTGAATTGCCCCCAAATGACCCCAAAATCGCCCCCAAAATGCCCCAGACCCACCCCAAAACGCCTCCCCTTCACATTAACCCCCCCCCCCGAACCCCAAAAAGTCCCTTTCTGGCCCCAAAAAGGGCAGATTTGGACCCAAATGCCGCCCACCTCCGCGTCCCCTCCAGCACCGTCCGCACGCACAGCTTGAACACCTCTGCAAAGGGCAGCAGCAGCTGGCAGCTCTGCGCGTTTGGGGCA